ATATATATATATATATATATATTGTTCGTAAATTGTTAATTTAAATTTTATTGAAATATAAAATATAAAAAAACCATGTCCAATAAATGGACAAAATAATTAATAAAAATATAAAATATAATAATTAAAAATTGTCAAATAATTGTACAACAAATGTTATTTAATTTTCAATTAATTAACAAGATGTTTATTGTTTAACTAATTTTGTTCATTAGCACATTTTGAAATTCGTTAAATAATAATTAAAGAAACTTTTGTTTACGACAACAGAATAAATTACCCCGCTAGAATGTAGATTTACGTCATAGCATTCGATCTTTACGTTTTTCATTCACAAGATACGTTTTACGTGCGCCACGAGTTATACCTTTTCATTGATATCTCTCTTTCTCTCTCTCTCTCTCTCTACCGTCTTATAAAACATTTCCAGCTTTAAATCTTAATTATGTATTTAAATGAAAGCACGTGTACACGCGTATGTATATCTGTTGTGTGTTTATTATACACACGTATATATATTTCATAAACTTTCTTAACACTAGATATACCACCATTTTCAGTATACCTATTTCTACCACACTAGTCAAAATGACTGGTGTATACAAAAAAAATACTTTTTGAGCTTTACTTCCAGTATTTATTTACTCTTAAAATATAACAAAAAATGTTTAACAATAATAATTTTAATAGATTAATGAGAGTTTATAAAGATTTTTAAATAACAAAATGCTTAATTATTTACAGAAATGTTACATGAAGTAGAAATTTTGAATTAAAATGGCTGGTCTAGTATATCTAGTGTTCAAGACATTGAATAAATAAACAAAATGGAATAAAAATAATATAATAGTTTAAAAAAAAAAGAAAAAAAGAATTTATTTTTCGAAGTCAATTGAAGGTGTAGGAGAGAATAAAAAGACATTAACGATTATTCGTTTTGTTTGTTTATTTTTCTCAAAGTGTCGGGATAAATAAAAAAATGAAGGAAATAGTACGCTGACCCAGTGAACCAATTAAAGAAAATAATTCCCGGAAGAGTAAAAGAGCGTTGCTTACGATATGTTTACATCGCGAATATCGTCTCTTAGGAGTGCAGTTTACGCATGCGACGCCGACGCATCATCGATCTGCCTCGGCACCGTTACATTTAATAACATTGCACATTATTACAAAGTAACACATGCCCGTTCACCATATATCTATATATATATACGTTCAGAGAAATTTATTCTATGTTTAAAAATATTATATACGAATATTATTGCAAAATGAAATGTATTATTCGTTTACAAAAGAAACACAAATATTTTTATATAAATTTATTTCAAAATTAATAAAGTATAAATAATTAATTTAAAAAATCGTGATTTATTAAAGTTGAAAATAAAAAGTCAATATGTACAATTTATTTCTATTAATATACCTTTTGATAAAAATATCAAAATAAATTTTATTTTCATTGAAAATAAGTTCTCTTAATTTTAGCAAATTAATACTATGTACAATTCATTTATAAAATATTAATTATCAAGTAATTATTATTATTTATAAAAATAATAATAGCTTTTTCTTTTTTTTTTTTTAATTTTCACTAATTTATATTATGTACAATTTATTTATATTAATAATCTGTTTGAACAAAATATCAATATGAATTTTATTTTCATCGAAAAATATATTTTCTTAACTTTGTTGAATTTATACATTGACGTAAACTAAAACGTATTATAGTAGTCGTTAGGAAAAATGTTAGAATAAATCTGTACGTGATAATAAGAGAAAATGTATCTTCACAAGCTTAATAAGTTGGTAAGGGAAAGGTAATACATTAAATGAAAAGGGGGATAAAAGTTGACCGTGGAAAAAAAAAAAAAAAAGAGAAAAGAGATAAGAACGTTTCTTTTTATTCGTAACTCTCTCGTCTAATATAGAACGTTCAATATCTTCCTACGCATCGTTTTCTCCATTTTCTATAAAAGAAAATAGGATTATTTTCTTTCTCTATCTCTCTTTCTCTTTCTCTTTCTCTTTTTCTATTTCTGACTTTTTGATTCCTTTTATCTCTCTTCCTCTTCACTATTTCTAAAAGCTACTGGAAAATAGGATATACGTAAGCCAAATAGAAAAAGATAATTAGGAAAGAGATAAAATAATAATATGAGCCTTTTTTTTTCAAAAATTGATTAGAAAATATACGTGCGTATTGTCTTTGATAAACCTGCACGTGGGTTTTGTACGAAAAAAGATTCAGCGATTCGTAAAAGTATTGGGTATGGTTGAATATTTTCCCAGGAAAAATTAGGACCTCGTTCGTAGTACGAAGAATAATTTGATTGATGATATTTCATTAAAGTGTAACGTCCAATCTGATAGAAAATAATTGGAGAATATTGGAGAGAAAAAAGAAACATACCGAAGACAAATTTTTGTTCGAAGTCAAAACGAATTTGAAGAAAAAAAAATGGAGAGGTTTATTTTTGTCTTTAATATCTTGCGTTCAATTAATGTTAATTGAAGAGAAATAAGGTTTCGTAGAAGAAAAAAAGAAAAAATCGTTAAAACTGGTCAAATTAAAGAGTAAGTGTTCATAAAATTTCATTTTATTTTCAGAGAATGAAGTATCGGCACGGTCGTGCATCGATACATCGAAGAAAATGGCCCTTGCGGTTGGCACTGTTTCTTGTCTATGTTCTCGTGCAATTTGTGGCCTCTTCGAAGTTACCAATCGCACACACACCCTCCTCCTACTCGTCCTCGACAGAGTACGAGGAAAGTTCAACGTTGGAATCGACAGTGTCTTCGTATTATCCAACATCGACCGAATCCGAGTTAACATCCTCGATGATGCAAACGTCGATACCAGGGTCAATTTCCGTTGAACATCCATCGAAGAATACGAAGGAAGAGAAGAGTCATACTACCAAGGAAAAAAATAAGAATGAAAAAAATAATGATAAGACAAATACGAATAAATCGAGGATTCGTGAACAAACGAAGGAAGAACCTAAAGAAAAAGAAACAGATAAAGCAACTAAAGTTGCTGCTGCTGCGGCAGCAGGTGCAGCAGCAGCGGGTGCAGCTGCAGTTGTAACCAAAACAACTCCTAACAATACCGTCGTGAGTTTCGAATTTATTTGAAATTGATCAATCAAGTCGAGTGTTCATTACTCGCTGGTTTTTATAATAATCGATATTATTACAATTGTTCAGAACATCAAATTATATCTAAAATTGAAACAAGTCATTTTGAATAATTGTTAGCATTATTAACTATGATGATGATGATGATGATGATGATGATGATTATAAACAGGCATCGTTTTATAGACTACTCCCACGATACCAACAACAACTCCCAAATACGTTCATCCAACATGGAGACCAAGAAGAGAAAATTGTTCGCCACCCGCTATCGAACAATTCCCACGTCCTTTGATGGGTCCCGAAGGCAGAAAACATGGTGGTCTTATCATACACATTCTCGTCGCTGCTTACACATTTCTAGGCTTGGCAATCGTCTGCGATGATTATTTTGTTTCCAGCCTTGACAGAATTTGCGAAGGTATGTGTGTACGTATGCGTAAGTTTATGTCAACTCGTGAACTTTATTCACAAAGGAATGATGAATCTTTTATATAACATCGGTCGATACTTTCAATGATTTTGTCACGGTTCTACGTGGTAGTTCGAGAAACAAAGTTTGGAATTTCTTTCAGAGTTAAGGTTATCGCCGGATGTAGCAGGAGCAACCTTCATGGCTGCTGGATCTTCAGCACCAGAGTTAGCTACAGTCGTCATTGGTGTATTCTTTGCTAAAGATGACATTGGAGTAAGTGCGATTACCTACTTGATATACATTTACAATTCCTCACAGTTCACTGACCGTGCATTGTATCGGTTTTCACGGTTGACTTAACTTACTCGTCATTTCTTTACGTACAAAATGTTCTTATTCAACTCTATTGTGACAAATAACATAAATCAAATATTTACCAATATTATATAACCTAAATTTACATTCAATTAATATTAAACTTTCTGTTTTTTAGGTAAGTGGAGTTATCGGTAGTGCCGTTTTCAATATAATGTTCGTTATTTCTATATGCGGTCTCTGTACAACGACTGTTTCCAAATTGAACTGGTGGCCACTAGTTCGAGATTGTTTCTTCTATGCTGTCTCTATTCTCGTGATGCTTGGTACGATCTACAATGAAACTATATCTTGGTGAGCAGTTTTCTTTTCATTACCCACAAAAGTATTTAATTACCTTCAATGTTTCATATACAATTGTGCAACTTCATATAATACTTGAACAAATCTCTTTTATTCTTTAGGATGGAGTCGCTGTTTATGTTAATTATGTATGCAGTATATTGCATAGCACTTTCGTTTAATGAAAAACTTGAGCGATGGGCAAAGTCGTACAATATTCCTTTCTTACCCAAGGACGACGAACCAGCTGAAGAAAGTGCATTGGTCAGTTACAGATCTTTACAAGAAGATCGATTATCTTATACTGGTCCTAATTCACCTGTAACTGAACAAGCTGCTCAGATAAAGAATCAAGAAGGTGAAATATCAATCTCTTCACTTTTTATATACATTAACATCTTCTTTTTATTTCTCAAGAAGTATAAGTTAATTGTACATTTCAGGAAATGGTGTTCAAGAAGTCGGTGAACAACCACCAGCTCCAAAACCAGCGCCCCAATATTACAAAGCAAAAGAACCTGATCCAAACGAAGTGTCACCACTTGTAATGCCTACAGATGGAAATAAATGGAAACTTTTCACATGGGGTCTAGTGTATCCTATCCATTTTATGTGTCGAGCCACTATGCCTGATTGTAGGCAAGAAAGGTTTCGAAGTTGGTATCCTTTTACCTTTTGCATTTCCATGATATGGATAAGTTTCTACAGTTACATCATGGTCTGGATGATCACTATTATAGGTAATATTACTATTAATCAAATCACAAAGCATTTATTCTTATTTAACAGAGATCAAAGAAAAATGTTTAACTTCTAGGTAGTACACTTGGTATTCCTGACACTGTGATGGGTTTGACTTTCGTCGCAGCTGGAGTTAGCGTACCAGACGCTCTTTCTTCTTTAGCTGTTATAAAAGAAGGTCTTGGTGATATGGCTGTGAGCAATGCAGTTGGTAGCAACGTATTTGATATTCTTGTATGTTTGGGTCTACCATGGTTCATACAAACAGCGATGATCCAGCCAGGTTCTCACGTTAACGTTACAAGCAGGGGTACTTATTTGTTCAAACAAATTCAACTTGTTATAAATAATTCAATTATTTATTATTAATAATTCAACGTCATTTTTTTGGCAACAGGACTGACATATTCAACTGTCTCGTTACTTTCTACGGTAATATTTTTGGTTGTCGCGACACATATGAATGGATGGAAATTAGATCGACGATATGGTGTAGTATTGATGGCATGGTACTTAATCTTCATCATTTTCGCATCATTGTACGAACTAAACGTCTTCGGAGAAATGAATCCTCCAGTATGTCCTAGCAAGTTTTAAACGTAAGTACAACTTTTATAAAAATGTTTATTTTGTAACAATATCCACAAGACTTGTCTCTTGATATATTTTAGAAAAATAAAAGAAAAACAAATATGGCCACACAAAATGGAAGGAGACGCACCATTGAACCTTGCCCTGGAATTGATGTGCAATAATCCTTCGAGATAGCCACTTGCGATCGATTAACTTTTTAGGCAAGGACAAAGTTTAATCTGTCGAAAGGAAAACAACAAAAAGGATATTAAAGAAGAAAGAAAAGGAAACTCAACGATGACAAAAATAAGAGATAGATAGAGAGAAGTAAGATGATTATTAATAGATAAACGTCGTTTATATATCTTCCTTTTTTAAAAAAAAAAAAAAAAAAAACTATTTAAACGTTCAAGATAGTACGAAAGCATGAAAGTAATAAAAGACAAAGGCACGCTAATAATATTACCGAGTCCTGCACGAGGGATAAGCAGCGAGTGTATTTATTTTTTTTTCTTTTTTTGGTGCTAACATATGTTGTACATTATATTATTAACAAACAAAAAAGAAAATATCTTATAAAATAGTAGTATATCGCTGACACTAGTCTCGTTTGTACAGCTCGTATAAAAAAAAATCCTCCCCTTTAAGAAATTGGGAGAATTTCTTCCAAGGATCAATCGATCGATTATCGAGACAAATAAACAATCTAGCGATCATCGATATAAGCCGAGATAAGCTTCCATTTGAATATTATTCATTAAATTCTGTATTCGACAGACATCGAATCTCATGGTCTAGATTTGTCATATTCAAAATAATCACTCGAATCTTCCCTTCGTCGCTATTTAGTTTTGTTTTTCACCCTCGCGTTGGGTTGAACCGAAAAGACAATACAATTATCAGTATTAAGACGCACTTGTTATTAGACGAGCATATTATAAAAAAAAAATAAAATAAAATAAAGCAACGGCAAAGGTGGTCCGACGACGAATCGATCGTACACGTTTGATTGATTGATTGGTGATTGATTGATTGATTGATTGATCGTTTGCTATTTTGCTTCGCTTTTTTTTTTAACGAACGTGTATCGTACACGACGATGATGACATAAATGATCGATACTGTCGTTTTAATAGAAAAAAAAAAAAAATAAATAATTCTTCTCGAAACGATTGATTGATTGATCGTATTTATGCATTAAGAAATGTTTATATATGCAATAATTATTATTTATTTTTTTTCTTTTATTAAGTCGTGTGTCAGCCATATAAAAAAAAAATGATCTTACAATTAGATTAAATCTTAAGATTAATATATGTTATATTCTTATTATCAAATTTTATTATAATATAGTTAGAATGTTGTTATATGTTAATTAACATGTGGTCGCGTTTTCATGGAAAGAAACGCATCATTGTTATCATCGAAGACAAGTAGACATTTTCAAATCAAGTTTCGTAAAAAAAAAAAACAAAGAAAAAATAAGGAAAAAAATAACATTAGATTCAAGAATTTGTTTATTCGTGAATAAGATAAAAATAATCTCTTCCTTAGACAATTTTAAAATCATTTTTGAGACGACGGATGCGAGTGTTTTTGTCGCGTTCCTGTATTAATCATTTTTATTCCTGTTCCGGTTCTCACTGATTTTTATGAAATCATCATCGATGAGTTTTCATCTTTATTAATATAATAATAATTGAAATTTTCTTTTATTCATCGCTCGTCCGTCCGTTGTTCAACAAAATTTCAAACACCCTGTGTACGTACAAGGGTAAAAGAAAAATTCACCGGCACAATAGGAATTTTGATTTGTTTTATCGAAAATTCAAGGTTGAATTGTTTTTTATTTTACTTGCATCTCTTGTTAATCGTTACAAGAAATTGTAAATAAATTATTATTACAAAAACAAAAAAACAAAACAATTGTTACCTTGAATTTAAACGTAAAAGCAACTTCTTTCGTACAATTTCCAGCAATGAAAGGGTGCAAAATTCAGTTGTGTCGGTTGTAAGGTGTAATTTTCTTTCACCTTGGAACATTCGACAACGAAAATAACAAAGATTCGCGAGATCAAAGGAAATACCTTGTCAATGCGAGTGCGTGATAGAAATTGTCATAATTTGTAATCATATTTTTTTTCTTTTTTTTTTTTTCTTTATTATTCAATAAGATAATTTTTAGCAGACAGATAAAACTTTCGAGTCGAGTCTTCCCAAATGGAAGATACTTTATGAAATTATTATTAAAATATAGAAAACAATTTAAAATGAACAAAAATGAAATTAAATAATATAAAATCGTACACAGAGTAGACACAATTTCGACGATCGTGATGAAAAGAAATGAACAACAAAATGCAAATGGAGAATTACGAGCGCGGGCGGGCGTATAAATGATTAAAAAAAGACAATAATTAACGCAGCCTTATCCGATGAAAGTATCTACAAGTCTCTTTTCAATTATAAAGAGAAGAAATTAGTCAAGAAAAACTGTTAAAAAGAATGAAAAACCTGCGCGTTCCTTGAGATACCCAAATTCGGACGGACTCGACGTGTGTTCTCGATTATCGAGCATTGTTATTGTTAATAGAAAAAAAAGAAATATTAAAAGAACCAAAAAAAAAAAGAAAAATTTATATAATAGAAAAGAAAATAGGAAAATTTTGGAAAATAATCAAACGTAGCCTCCGTTTTCAGGATCCTTTGATCTTTCGATCTCTAAACGCGCAGGGTGGCATAGTCCTTTCCGAAAGAAAGTAATAAACGCGTTTTTAAACAAATAATATTAATAATAATTATAATAATATTAATAATAATAATACTAATAATAATAGTAATAATAATAATAGTAATAAACCGAGCCAAAAAAGGATTAAAATACGGAAATGATAAAAAGAACAACAGGAACTCCGACACATTCCGCGTCCGTCGCCTGATAATGCTATCAGTTTAAAAAAAAAAAGAAAGAAAGAAAGAAAGGAAAAAAGAGAATTAAAAAAAAACAAACAGACACAAAGAAAAGAGAAAGTAAATTTATCAACGAAATATTTGAAATAGTGTTTCGTGATATTAATTATTAATTATTATCACGATAATACGATCGATTCGTTCGAACCCCGTACGGACGTGCGACCCTGCATGTATTTTAAATTGTAATGACAAAAAAAAAACGTTTAAAAATGATATCCCGTTTAATTGAAAATTGAAAGATTTCGAATTTGTTGAAGAAACAATAGTAAACAGAAAAAACAAGATATTAAAATAATATGAAAGAAGAACAAAAATCGGGTAACCCGTGCGATCCAAGGTGATCGCAAGGATCGCGCAGACGCTTTAGAATTTATATTATATGTGTACATACGTGTATATATATATATATATACAGGGTGTCCTATAAATGATGGTACAAGCTAACTGAAAATAACTATATGAAAAATGTGTGTCAAAAATGTAGAATAAAATTTTGTTTGTATAAGGTTTTTTGATTTTTTTTTTTTTTTTTTTTATAAAAATAAGTTTGAACATTTGTCAAGTAGTTGTACACTTGATTAAGTTTAAAACTTTGTAAATTAAAAAAAAATGTTCCATACAAAAAATGTCAATATACTGACAAGGTTTCTAAATATATTGAAAAGAAGCACAAAAATGCTCTAAGAGATATCGAAAAGTACAGAAAATGAAATCCAACTAGGTGAAACTGAATGACCTAGTTGAATACCATGAATTACAACTTGAATCAAGTGTAGGTATATACTCGTGTACAAATATTTCAACTTATTTTTAGTAAATGTTATTCAACATTTGTTGACATAGTTTTTCGTATAAGAATCATTCATCGTTTTTTTATAACTGTCAATTAGAGAACACTCTGTATATAATATTATATGTATGTACATATAATATATAAATATATAAATAATATAAATAGCGCGTAATATTATTAAATAAAGTTTTGCGGAAAGGAACGAAAAAAAAAAAAAAACAACCTTAGATCGTACGACTATATTAAAAATTATTATGATTATTATTATTATTATATATTCTTCTCTTCTTCTACTTCTTCATCTTCTTCTTCTTCTTCTTCTTCTTCTTCTTATATCATAAAAGAACACATTATTATTATTATAAAACGTTAAGACGTGTGTTTATTCGCCACTTTTATTCGTTATTGTTAGCGTTTTAGGCGAGTGTGTATTATAACAAACGTTATACATATTATATTTATATATTAAATATAAATATATAAATATAAATATAAATATATAAATACATGCGGGGAGTCGTTCGATCGTAGTGTCCGTGGGGAAAAAAAAAACAAAATTAGGAAAAGACAAAAATTGTGCATCGATCAGTGTCAATTAGATTTTCAAAAGCAATCTATTTATCTCTCTCTTTCTCTCTCTCTCTCTCTCTTTTTTGTTATCGATTTCAAAGTAAAAAAAAAAACGTTTAGAACTTCTTCCACCGTTCACTTTATGAAAAGATAAACTTCCCTCCTATAGTTCGACGTAATATTACAAATTCAGTAGGGGGGGGGAGGGGGGAAGAAAAATGTGAGAAAAAAAAATGAAAGAATGAAATAGGAAATTTTTATTATTTTTTTTTTCCTCACGAATAATCGAATTTAACGAACGAACGTCTCCCCCGCGTTGCTTCCGATGTTTTAGAGAAGCGCCGCTCGAAAGTCAAGGCGCTCATTTGTTAGATATTTATAATGGCGACCGAAAATTAATGTCTTTACTACGCAAGTCAAATTTTTCTATTGATTGTTTTAATGAAAAAATTGATTGATGATTTTTATCGTTACGATATTACAAATTTTTCATACCAGATAGAAAAAGATCGTTGTGATAACGTAATTAATTAATTTAATTATTGATTAATAATAAAAACTTTGATTTGAATTTTGAGGTTAAAAAATGACATTACTTTTTGGTCCACTTAATAAAAGATGAAAAGAAAAAAAATAGAAAAAATGTAAAAAAAGGAAAAAAACAAAAAAACATTAATATTATACGCGGACCACAGTCAGTCTCTCGATGTGTTATTTCGTAGAGCGTATGAATCAACGAATCGCGAATTGTGAAAAGATAATAAAAAAAAAAAAAAATATATTAAACAATAAAAAAAAGAATGAATAAAAAAAAAAAATAAGGGCAAGGGCAAGGGCAAGGGCAAGAAAAGAGCTCGTCGAGAGCTTTTAAAATATGAAAATTGTTTCGCAATCGTCGTCGTTTACGCATGCGTCGCGGATATCAACGAAAAGAAAAGAAAGAAAAAGCAGAGAAATGTTGAAAAAAAAAAGAAAAATCATCATTAACTATTAACAATAAGCTTTTAAATCGATCCTATCTTCACCAGGCCCTTTTTCTGTATATATACGTAAACATATATATA